CAATCAATCAATCAATCAATCAATCAGTATGGACTTAAGGTGGGTCTTGGGGTGATTTCAGACATCTCAAAGCCACTTGCAAAGGTAATTGATTCACATAATATTCAATCAATACCATTGCTGAATGTATGTGACGATACTGGGACATTTTTTTTCACCTGCTCAACTCATACTGATTGATTGATTGATTGATTGATTTGTTTGTTTGTTTGATTGATTGATTGATTGATTGTGTTCTAGCTGGGAGAACTCAGTCAGACAAACAGAGGCGAGCCAGGACTTCAAGTCAGCTAACAGTTTATTTCTAACAGGTTGCCTAAAGCGGCACTTCACATTTCGCGCGTATTAGCTAACTGGCAACAGCTGAGCCCTGTTTGACAGTTCTTTATATACCCCAGCTGTCAAACAGGTAACCAATCAGAAACAAGGACACGCCCTTCTAGCCAAATGGACCAGAGAGGAAACTGTAGTACACAACAGATTGATTGATTGATTGATTGATTGATTGATTGATTGATTGATTGAAGGCAGGGAACTCCCCTTTGTCCCAGGCTGTGGCTAGGTTTTTATTCCGATCTCAGTCACCAGTCAATAACCCAGCATTGTACTACTCAGCTGCTAGCAGGGAAAGGCACCTTCTGATTATCTGTTGATTCTCTACAGATTAACATTATTTATATCCTAGCAACTTTAAAAGTCAGACCAAATCACTTAGCGCTGCCTGCTTTGTTTCAAATCGGAATCAAACAACAGAAAGCCATCTAATCTGACAGCGCTTTTTGTGTTACCTTAGATATAACAGGTATGTTGTGTTGAGAAGGAAAGGATAAGGAAGTACATTGTAGGGCTAACTCTGCCTCTGTAAATATAAAACATGCAAAATAAATAAGGCGTTCTTTTCAGTCTTTCCACCGTCCCATTTTTCTCCCTTAGTATGTTAAGATACATATCTATGCTGCTGGCACAGCGGCAAGTTTAATTACTATATCTAATCATTTGCCCCAAACCACTAATGGAGTCAGGTTCTCACAACAAATGTGACTTCACCTGCTGTTTTTCAGCTTGCTGGGGCACTGCAAAAAAAAAAGCTGGGATTTGTAATTAACAGAAGATCAGTGGTATAATTTGCCTCCCTAGTTCATGAAAGGGGGAAACTAATTTAAATAGGAAATTATGTATAAGTAGTTAATAACTGAACTAGGTTCAACAGCAATCATTTAGAAAGTTGGCCTCAACTTTACTGAGTAGCAGAACGTAGAATCACAGAGCCATATGGCTAGAAGGGACCTTGGAGGTCTTCTAGTCCAACCTTCTTCCTAAGGCAGGGGTCCTTATATCATCCCAAACAAAGGGATGTGCAATCTTTTCTTGAAAACCTCCAGCAATCGAGCACCCATAATCCTGAGAGGTGTCCTGTTCCAGTATTAGTATCTTAGCATCCAAAGGACATGTTAAATCAGAGGTGTCCAACTCAGGCAGAATCCGGCCCAGGGGGGCTGGGGGTGCTTAAATCTGGCTGAAGGGGCCAACCTGGAAATAGCCATAGACTGGCTTGCAGTGCCTCTGGCAGCCAAAATGGAGCATGGGGGCTGCATGTGATCCCCAGTTTTCGATCTGGACAGCCTCCTGCAGCCCTCTGCCGCCAAAATGGGGTGCGGAGAGCCATTCCATTCCATCCATTCTGCCCCATTTTGCCAGCAGGGTGCTGTATGAGGCATCTGTCCTGTCTACACACACACACACACACACACACACACACACACACACACACACACACACTCCCCTGCCCCAACCAGCCTGCGGAGGAGAACTACAATGCTTATCCAGCCCTCGAAACAATCCAGTTTTACACCCCTGTGTTAAGTAAATTCACATAACCAGGGTTAACCTATTAAGAAACAAGTTCTTGAATCATATCAAGACGCAGAAGTCTTATTTAATATCTTTTAAAAAAGCCATCTTTTCAATGAATCCGGACAATTTAAATGGTCACCTATTTTACCAATCCAATTCTATAGGGAGTTAACATGTTTAAAAAAAATTAAAACATTAATTTTAACAAAGGGTGCGGGGAAAAAACTATAGTGGTCAACAAGGGTTAACTTCACTAATGAAACTACACAACCTTCTCACTAGGAAACTTAACATCTTGACTTCCGGATCCTGGAACCCATCTAGATCTTTTTGAAACTCCAGCAGGGTTGAGGCCAATCTAAATCTCGTTGGGTATAGTGGCTGAAGGCATACTTCTGTGGTTCCATAAGATGACATTCTTTAATAGAAGAATCCTGCAAATAGCCCAGCTCTTTGGCATGAAGGGTTTTATAGGTGGCAAGGAGCACCTTGAATTCCAACCGGAAGCTCACTGAAGTAGCTGCAGCATCTGAACCAGAAGTGGTATTCAGCCACAAAGCCGTAGCAGCAGCTGCAGGAGGCTCCGCCCACCCACCCCGACATAATGTACAAGCAATGCGCAAGCAATGCGCAGGGGCAACAGTCGATGTGCATGTGTAGATGCAGCGTATGCGTCCCATTTGCAAACTGGTAGGGAAAGTAAGTGAATCCAACCACTGATCTGAACAGCCTTCCAGAATAGCATCACGTAGTGGGATTCAAAATCTTTTACTACCGGTTCTGTGGGCATGGCTTGGTGGGCAGGGCGGGAGAAGGATACTGTAAAATCTCCATTCCCTCCCCACTCGAGGGGAAGGTTACTGCAAAATCCCCATCCCCTCCTGATCAGTTGGGACTTGGGAGGCAGAGTATAGATGGGAGTGGGGCCAATCAGATATTTGCAGAACTACTCAAAATTTCCACTATCGGTTCTCCAGAACTGGTCAGAACCTGCTGAGTACCACCTCCGACAGCACTTTATACTAAGAGATGACCAAAGGGTGAGCAACAGTGACAAGAAGAGCCACACATAGTGCATAAATAAAGTTGTGCAGAAATCCTTCTCCCTACAGCTGCCACTTGCTCTTTCAACAGGAGCTATGAGTCCAGGAGAACCCCAAGTAGTGTAGCCCTATCCAAAATCGGAAACAGGAAAACCCTGGGTCCAAGAGAACCTAAGCCCACAGCCTTTTCTTCACCACTGAGACACAATCTCCGAAGCATCACTTAACCACAGCAAAAAAGCTAGGAATCATCAACATATCAATGGCACCTTACCTTACGCTGTCATATAACCCACACCCAACAGGCTCACGTGGATGTTGAATAGGAATGTTTGAACCACGTATTTTAAAGAACTCTAAGCATCCAAATGCTTTCAAAATGCTTATATTTGATAAGGAAAAAAATGCAAAGGGAAAAATCATTTCATAATCAAGGACAATATTTGCATGAGTCTCTCACTGATCTCAAAGATGCAAAGAAGGTTCAGACCTGGTTCCTAGCTAGGTGGAAGAGGACGGACTATTCCAACGTTGTATTTGAGACTAGTAACTCATAAAATCAGTAGCAAATTAATTCTATATCATTGGCAATAAAATGAACGTTGGTATGTACGTGATGTACGAGATGGGACGTTCAGTAGCTAAGATGCTGAGATTGTCATTCAGAAAGGTCAGCAGTTCAGCAGCTCAAATCCCTAGCGCCATGTAACGGAGTGAGCTCCCATCACTTGTCCCAGCTTCTGCCAACCTAGCAGTTCAAAAGCACATAAAAATGCAAGTAAAAAAAAATAGGAATCACCTTTGGTGGGAAGATAACAGCGTTCCATGCACCTTCGGTGTTTAGTCATGCCAGCCACATGACCACGGAGACATTTTCGGATAACACTGGCTCTTTGGCTTTGAAACGGAGATGAGCACCGCCCCCTATAGTTGGGAATAGCAATAGCAATAGCAGTTAGACTTATATACCGCTTCATAGGCCTTTCAGGCCTCTCTAAGCGGTTTACAGAGAGTCAGCATATTGCCCCCAACAATCTGGGTCCTGCTAAAGTCATAGCATCCATAGCAGCAACCGGATTGCAGTTAAGTAAGAAAGTAAAATATTTGGGAATCTGGTTGTCAGCAAAATGTTCCACAATCAAAGAGGATAATTACAATAAATTAGTGATACAAATAAAGAAAGATTTAGAAAATTGGAAGAATATTCAATTATCACTTATGGG